CCGCCGGATGCGTTTCGTGCTGTGTGGTCTGTGTGGACAAGCGGTGGTCGTCCCAGCATACACCATGTGTCTCGACAAATCAAAGTAATGTCTGACGCAGTATCCAACTGCAGCTTAACCTCCTTATCGTTGATCTTCAAATTTGTAAACTTACGCCTGCCGACACTGTCAATCTTGAAAGTCGCCGTCACGGTTTTGGCCTCGTTGTGACATCGGAAGCGCACTGGGATTCGACGCCGTATTCCGCTCATTGTTGGTAGCTTCGCAAGACAACACGACTCTTTGTGTCCCCGCTTACCACAACGATAGCAAATGTGATTTCGGAACGGGCAGTTTCGACCAAAGTGCCATTCCCTGCAGAACCAACAAGCAGAAGAGGGTTTAGAATGTGGTGGACTCACATGGACCGTTTCTTTCTGAGGACTTCTGCTGACCCTGCAAATGATGTCCTGACTACTCTGGATAGAGGACTGTTGGATCATCGCAGCATCATGCTTCAAGTTCATCAACCGCTGGCATTCGTTCGTCACTTCTTGCAGTGTGATCTCGGGATTTTGTTCAGTTCTGCTCAGCACTCTTGTTCGGGCATCCGCATCTTTGGTTGCTTGAAGACCACACACATAAATAAGGCACTTGTATTGATCAGCTATCATCTTGTGAAACAGCGCCCGTTCACACTCACGATTTACGCGACTCGAGTAAGTAACCCAGTCTTCGTCGTCTCGCTTGGTCATTGTCAGGCACTTGTATCGGATATTGAATAATGACGACTGCTCTCCAAATATCTGGGATAAGGTAGCAACCGCTTCATCGAATGTTAAATCAGTGCTCTTTTTCGGCAAGATGAAATTCATAAACTTTTCGTGCTCGGCCGCACCCAATTTCCGCAGCATGAGGCGTACTCTCTTGTCCTCTGAATCACCGGCTAAATCAATGCGAAACAGGTCTTCGTATTTATGGAACCACGATTCAAAAGTAATACCGGCATCAGCATCGTAACGGAATTCACAAACTTGCTGGGTCAAGGTTTCTGCTGAGGGACAACGTTCGCTTGTTCCTGTTACGGAGCCTGCCTGTAGTGACAAATTCTTGGTCAGCGTTTCGATCAGCTTGGCCTGTGCTTTCTCAAACTGCGCCTGCTGTTGCTGCAACAGATACTGCAATTGCTCAAAACTGACTGACATCTTTGGGTTCCTTTGACTCCTGTCGCCACTGTTGTAAAGCTGCCTTCGTCCTGCTGCACTGCTGCTAGTCTGCGCCTGCGAGACTACGATCGCCTGATTGCTCAATCACGCGCCCAACCAACTGACGGGATACAGAAGACCAAGGCTCGGTAAACAGGGAGTCTATTCTACACGACATGGCAGTTCTATTTATTGGTGAACGAAACATACTAGTTTTGGAAACATCTGGCTCTCAGCCAATGTGGGTTGGTTCTGTCGCACGGATTTTCCAAATTTGGCAGAATGGCTCTCCTCCCTTGATTCCGGCTTGTAATTGCTGGCCAATCGGTTTGCACCCGCTTCCCAAATTTGGCAAAACGGTCGAAGGTCGTCCCCCGCTCGTGTATGTGACCTTCGCATGCAGCAGACAACTCACGTGCTCCGCGGTAAGCCCGTGCGTGACCCAGTGTCTGGACATTGGCTCCGCTTACCTTTCTATTAATGGGAATAACCTACGAGGCTGTCTTGGGTTTGCAAGCAATTTTCTTCTCTTGATAGATTCCAAATATCTTAGTCTTTTTTATTTTAACAACGTTTATAGTTGTTTGAAAACGGGGTATAAAAGTGTGAAGCGCTTGCTCTACGGACGTCAGCAGATGTTAACGAAGTCTGAGCAACGAACTGGTGGTTCAACTTCCCTACCACGTCGGTTGATGACAGGTCGAATACGAATGAGGTCGGTTGAGGCTTTGGTTTGCACTGGAGCGGAGTGACTGGGATGAACTTGCGATGTTGGCATGAAGGCGTTGGTTGAAAACGTGCTAGTTGCACTGTAAAGTTAGATTTGTCCGCAACTACAAGCTTAAGTCGGCCTGTATTGATCTGCTTAGTTTTACCATTGCAATCAATGGTAAATGAGCTGGGATTTACCATGGGATAAATGCTGGTACTTAACACGTCCTGTGGGGTGTTTAGAGTGAGTACACTGAAGTTGAAATGTATGTGATTCATCTGCTGAGCGTCTACCGAGACAAATTTGTTGATAAATAACGTTAGTGTAAAATCAAAATCGTGTGTAAACTTACAGAAATTCACTGGTGAAATGCTCGTTGGTGTAAAGCGTGAGAAAAATAAACTATGGTCGCTCACTTATGCTCCGCCTTCTTTGATCCAAATGACACATAACCCCTGTAGTAGGGTATGCTTAACCTAATCCACAATGGCGTAGTTTAGCTAACGAAGTGTTGTGAGCTAAAAGCAACATTCAGTCCTTTTTTGATAGTGTCCAAAGTAGTGGTGGATACAATTGATGCTGGGAGAGTGTTCCAGGGTTGAGAAACTCGAAGGGAAAGCTAATTCCGTCACCACTCTAGATGTCTGTATTGTTCCCTCAATTTCAAACAGTTACCCCTGAGCCGCATGTTGTGTCTAAGTTTCAGCAAATGGCGACATACATGGTTAGGGTCACTCAATATTTGGCACGCTATTATATGATCGCTGCGCAGCTTTCGGTAGCGTTCGCTGAAAAATTCCCAGCAACTTCAGCCTTGCGTGGCAATAGTGATAGCGCAGGCCCTTTACATTCTTTGTTGCACTTCGTTGTGGCTTCTCTAATGCCTCTAGGTCACGTTTCAACCGAAGTTGCCAAGCTTGGATAACGTACTCAACGTGAGGGCACACGTAGGAATTATGTATCATTGGAATGGTTGATGGGTCAAATCTCCCGAATACCCTTCGCAGCAGACCGACGTGCTTGTTGCCACTTTTCGCAGCTACATCAGCCTGTTTTGTGCAGTTGAGGTCACTTGGTACGATCACACTAAGGTCACGTTCCTGGGAGCTGGTCTGCAATCCGTTTGTTCCAAACAAATAGGAGTAGTCATGTCTATGGCGTAATTACACAACGCGACATTTGTCTACGTGGAATAGTAGGACGTTCTGAACTGGCCAGTTCGAAATCATGTTAAGATGGCACTGGTGCCGTTTCTTGGTCGTTCGATTCTCTGATCATTCGGTAAATCTTGATATGATCCGCGAATAATAGGAAATCGGCAGCAGTTGATCTCGATAAATCATTTATAAATGCCAGAATAGACGAGACCCGAGCACCGAGCCTTTTGGTACAACATACTCTACATCAATGTTGAGGGTCATTTTGAAGTACACGTTGTGTGGATGGATTGCAACGCGCAATCTCAATGTTGACCGCGATTCCCATTGAAGTGAACCTTGGTCTTTCGATCACGAGGACCGTAGCTGATGCAAATAGAAATTGGGTGTTGCCCGCCCGAAAACACTGCACTACTATGACGCGTTTCGATGTTATTACATCTCATCAGATAGAGTTAGCAGGCATCGAACCCGGGACCATCGGGATGTTAGTTGTGACCGCTACCCCTAAGCCACCGGGTCACGACGGGCAACGCTTGGCACAACGGTATAATGAACGATGTGGATGGCCATTTTGAAGTACACGGACCGTGATTCCCGGACTCACACCTCAAACGGACGTTCGTGTAGAAAATTGCTTATCCAACTCAGCATTGGGTCACCAGTGCCGTAGTTCCGAAGCTTGTGAACGAGAATTCGATGGTCTAAACGATCAAACGCTTTTGAGACGTCCAGACAGCTGACATCGACTCCTGCTCCATCATCAACGGCTTCATTTCAGCTATTACGTGCCATTAGTAGGTTAGTAGTACATGAGCGCTTCTGAGAGAAGCTATGTTGCTTTGGGGCTATTAAGTTGTGGCTTTCCAGATACTGTATCGGTGCATCTAATGATTGATTCCATAACTTTGGAAAGTACAGGAAGTAGCGTTATTGGACGGTAGTCGGTACGATCAATGCGCCTACCTCCCTTATGAATAGAAGTGACGACCCCCCGCTTCTAAGCTGATGTAATATGGTTCCGTTCTAGACATCGCCGATAGAAAACGGCCAATGGTTCTGTTAAGTTTTTCTGACAGCATAGCAGCTTATACGCCTACATTTCAAGAACAGTGTGAGGTCAATCATCTCTTGCTACTGAATGCCTACGCTGTATTGTTTCTAAGTGGGTTACCCTGTCATTTTCACTGATCTGCACCATAAACCTCTTACTACACATATAGCCCACTCGCATATGCACAACAAATTCGATTGGTTCGGATAAAACAGCCCATCAATTCTTGTTGTTCCATACCATCCTCATTCTTTTCTGACCTACCAGAATGTCTGCCAGTTGGAATGTAGTCAAAGTCCCGAAGCGGACCAGTAAATTAATTTCCCGTGGTCAAGACAACAGTTGTGTCATTGTAGCCTCACATCATCTTAAACCTTGCAAACGTATGTATGCTCCTTACGGTAGATGGTGAATGGAAATACGCATCATATGTTCCAACCACCGCAAGTCGTTCAATCTTAGTTGATTAACTGACGAATTACTGAGCGTCGCAGCTCTTTACTGGCCAGCGTACCTAATGATTGCGGACAGCCCAGCGCCATCTGGCAGGGACAGTTCTTTGTAGTAACGGTGATTTTTCGACCAGAGGCGCTGGCAATATAAGTACCAAGCACTCTAACCTTGTGGTTGAAATTCCCCGTTTCATCACGTTGACCTACACACGCGAAGTCTGCTTACTTATACCAGTAGAACGTCTACAACGACCCGACGATTCGCTCTGACCAACATGGTATATACCCATGTATTCTTTAAATCGCGAATTGGCTTACTTAAGAATGAGCCGAGCGATGATTTTTGCGGGCCTACACTACTATGTCGTTTTAAGCATATGAGCCGACTTCTAACTACCGATGACTATGCTCTTTACCGCTTTCAACTTATTTTCCATCTAGCTTGGCTGTACGCAATACAAACTTTATCTTCCCTGGGGATATTGTTGCAGTCGCTGGTTACGTTTGTTGTCCTCTGCCAAGTAACATATTCTATTCATCGGGACAACTTAACAGTGATGAAATGCTGTTTAGTTGGACACTTCATTACAGGTAAGTTGCTTATGTGGTATGCAAGAATGTGCTGGCTAACACGCGTTTCATTATTTTGGGCTGCACGCTAGTTGGTACTCAAGGATCGATGTATCTAACAGATACCCCGAACCAAGCTGCGGATGAATTTAAGCTATTTTAAAGTATATCCTCCAGGCCGCAGCAGGCCAGTCTGTTGTATAATGAAGTGGGAAACATTGTGAGAGTCGAACTTACGGAAGATAACTCCTTGATTAAACCACTAATTAGTACCTAATATTTAGTTAGCCTACTGGTTGCTTACTGCCTTTGTATCCTGACTGGATGTTTGGTGCTAGACCTGTCTTTAAATAGTTTTCATCACATTTATCAATTGTCAGACACGAAGCAACACAAAAGATACACTACTGGGTCTTCTCACCCTAACGAAATTCAGCCGTACTACCCAGTTCTTCATCTTGGCTAGAAAGTCAAAAACGTAATAAATTTGCGAAGAAGCATCGTGCTGGATGGGGGTTGCTCTGTGGAAGAAAAGTTTGTCAATTATAAGAATACCTGCTTTTTTATCAGCACCAACGTCCGCTCACTTCTTGGAAATATGTAAAACCTTAAAACCAACATTCACTGTCGCGAATACGCGCAGCTACGAGTAAGTATGCTACAGGAAACCTGGCTTCACAAAGTTGTTGAAAACGCTGTTGTAGCAGTTGACGGTTATATTTTTCACCGTGCTGGTCGCCCATGCCCCTTCCGCAACCGAGATGGTGGAGTTATCACCTTTAGTAACGTTTCCTTGTGCTCATCAGTGAATAAAAGGTTCTGCTATTCATCGCAACGTATCGGTTGCCTAGCTTACAATGCACGCTAAAATATATGCGTCGATATAGCTCAATCTTGCCAGTCAACATTTATATATCCCCCAGTTGTCCAAGCTCAGCATCAGACACATTTTGCGATGACTTCACGACTGCTGTCATTGTACACATTGACCATTCCCTATACATATTTTCTGGTGATTTCAATAGGTGTGACACCACATTCCTCACAACACTTGGAGTACAGAACATCGTGAAATGTCCCACCAGGTTAGAAGCAACCCTGGACTTAGTGTTTGTTAACAACCAGAACATATGAGTCTAGCGAGGTTTGGAAACAATCGGTTGGTGTAGTAGTTTGGTAACGTTTCGCTCTTGACACAAAAGCTTCGTCAGACCAGGTGAATCAGTGTGCAATTGGAGTGGGATTTTATAGCGGACAGGGGCGATAACCCTGTTACCCGAGACTTGAGCCAAAGTGTAATTACAGTCACAGCCCGTCACACCTCAGGTGTTTCAATCACAGTGGGAATAGTCCAGGTGTTCCTATGTGCGTCATGGCATTGACGGATAAGCCCATGCACATTTGCATCTGACCCACGCAACGACGCTCGTCATGCTGGCCGACTTCATATCGCTCGCCACGTGGTAGAGTTCTACTCCCTCCATTTTATTCACTGTAAGCGGTAAATTTACCACGCAATTCGAAAGATGCATGAAGCGTGCTAACTCTGTATCCCCGCCGGCTATTTGTTTACGCACCTTATGCCCCATCGTTACTTGCCCTCGCGACGTAAGCGTTATGTAATCCACAAGATGAATAACAATTTATGTGCCATGGTTACCTGCCAACCGACATAGCTAGTATGTAATTAGTAAGCCGCATGTCGCGATGTCAGTCTGGATTACCAAAGCAGACGCCTGTCCTAATAGATGAGCGCCGAGTTACCGATTATCCCCATGTGAACTCATATCGGTGTTGCCAAGACTTCACCTCTCACTGTGGAGACCGTTCGCTTACACTCTGCAACCTGTCCTGACCACCTCACCCACACACATTATACACGTTATCTAGAGGTGGGAAACACCTCAATTACTGTGCCGCAATACCTAAAATCAAAGAAGGGAATAAAATGCTGCAGGTGCAAGCCGGCTGAGCTACCAGCAACGAATAAGCAACCTTCCGGTAAGCTATCTGCCGGCTACTATGCAGCAAAAAAGGTAATTTCCTATGCAAAATTATAAAATGTTAAATAATGTGATCGTGCTGGGAGGGGGACACTAAAATGGATGGGTGGGACAAAGAAACTCACAGCACAAACGCCACTGAAGTCGGCTCCTAGCCATGTCATCAAGCGTATCCAGCCAAATGTGTTCATCGGCTTTCGGACCCCAACCAGGGAGCCGAGACGCTCCAACCGAGTCCAGCTTCGAAGTGAGAGCCTTCATCCCTCTGGACCAAGTCATCGCTTGGCCACTCCTCCTCTTCTTCCATCCACATCCCCGGTGTGCAAACAACGCACGTCGCGGGAGTCGGTGGGCTGGCATGCGTAACACGTGGCCGAGCCATCGGAGCCTGGTGCGTAAAATAACGGCGCTGACTGGTTCATTTCCTTTTCCTGTGCCATAAACAAAGCGTCGAACACGTTCGTTGTTCGCGTAGTGTTCCCACAAGATCTGAGCTAAATTTCGAAGGCACCGGTGGTCGAACGTAACTAGCCTCTTTATGTCCACCGATCTAAGGGGCTAGGTTTCACAACCGCACAGTAGGGTCAGACGTACCGCTGCATTGTACACACTAACCTTCAGGGCATGAGTGATGTCGCGTATGCGCCATAAGTGGCGAAGGTTAGCGAAAGCGCCTTGAGCTTTTCTATATGGTCCGTGATCTCAGGTTCAATCCCACGGGCGCTGATGCAACTTCCTAGGTAGTTGCATTTTTGAACGACTTCTAGCTGATCCCCACCAAGCGTCAGGGAAGGAGGCGGTCCAGGCCAACCTAGCAGGAACGCTTTGTACTTCGACGGCGCAAAGCAAAGCCCGAAGCGGCTGACAGTCAGTGCTAATCTGCACAGTGCCGCTTGGCATGTCCGGGAGATGTCACAGATTAGGGCAATATCGTCAGAATACTCTGTCAAGAAATCGTTCTCCTGGGAGAAGATCCACACCTTCTAAGTCGTGTCCTGTGAACGCGATTTCCATGACTTCGTCAATAGCGAAGTTGAAGAGGAAAGGTGACAGCGGGCATCCTTGTCTCACACCGCTGGAGATATTAAAGGGCGACGACAGCTTGCCGTAAGCCCTCACACTGCCTGAGCTACGCGCGTATAATGCTTGGATAATATTTACATATTTCTCAGGTACACCTTTTCTGAGTAGACAGTCCCAAAGTGCACGTCTGTCCACCGAATCGAGTGCACCTTTGATATCGAGGAGCAAGACAACGGTGGGCCGCGAATATGTATGACGGGGCTCTAACAACTGACGCAAAGTGAAGATGTGATCAATGTAGTCACGACTTCGATGAAACCCGACTTGCTCTTCAGGAATATAGCTTTCACATGTGATAGTCAGACTGTAAAGCATGGCAGAGGCAAGCACTTTGGAGGCGATGAAGACCAAACTGATTCCTGTATGATTGCCGCATTCCCATCATGAGCCTCCATTGAAAATCGGGACTATGACGGAGCGGCTCCAGTCGGTTGGGACAGTTTCCTGCTCCCACCGTTTCATTAGTAACTCCAATACATCGTTCACAAGATCAGGTCCCCCGAATTTAAAGAGAGCTGAAGGTAGATCATCTGGTCTCGCGGTTTTATTTAACTTCAACAGTACGATCTTACGTTAAACTTCTGAGCGAGAGGATGGATCTAAAGGGACAGCCCAGGGAGCGGGGCGATCACTGGTCAGCGAGCAATCTGACAATCCAGACCGATTAAATTGCCTTTTAAAGTGCTCAGCCCAACGCTCCAAGCGTTTTGATAAGTTGTGGATAGGCTGCACAATCTCGACACGTATAGTTTCACTAACACCAAGTCTTCTGCTGCCTGTTTCCCGTATCAGACGGAATAACTTTCGATGGTTACCAAAGGCATCGACCACCTCCATCTCTGATAAACAATGAGACCACCGGGATTCGCAGTCTCGCTTCAGGCAAGAACGGACTTTTGCCCGGAGTTCTTTGCGAGTTTCATTGTGTTCGCTTCCAGTCGGGATATGTCGGCGAGCATCGATAAGTTCCAGAGACTGCGAAGAGACCCAATATCCATGTTGGCGATTAGACATACCACATGAGGATTTGCCTGCTGCTAGTAAGGTCTGATGAATAGGAGACCAGTGCCCTTCAACTGCATCCAGTGAGCGCTTACTCAACTCGCATGACAGTGTATTTTGGTAGGCATTCAGAGCAGCTAGTTTCGCCAGTTGGCTGATGTTAACGTGCTCACAAGGTCTTCGTGGGCGTCCGCCAAGACGCATCCACAGGTCTGCACATCCAAGTGCATGGTCGGTGTCCACACCTGTGCTCCAAATCGAGCGACAGTTCTGGACGCAGCCTCTCCATCGGTAACTAATTGCAGTGTGCTCGATTTTCGTCCAAGGCTGGTTCGAGGTTGGTGGGCGCCAAGTCTCCCTCCGGCGGGTGCTATGTCTGAAAGTAGTGCTCGCAGAAATAAGCGAGCATCTTCACACAAATGAAGCAACCGCTCACCGTTATCATTACGGGAGCCTATACCATGTTGGCCGCCCAGATGCAGTTCATCAGTGGACAACTTTCCAACTTGAGCGTTCAGATCCCCTGCCAACACAACAGTGTCCGTACTTCTTCTGTGGCGAAGGAGCTCGTTCGATTGGCGATAAAAGTCGTCTTTTACAGAATCATCGCTACGGTTTGTGGGTGCATGGCAGCGATGACGAATAGACACCTGTTGGTCCCACTCGACTTCAAAGCTTTGAACGAGCCAGCCAATCGGACCGCACACATCCGGCTACTAATTTAGATCCAATCAACCAGAGTAGCTTCAGCCCGGGGACTCAGATTAAGACCAACACCGGCTTGGCCGGTGCTCGAAGCCGCATCGTCACCGGATATGCGCAATGCGAAAGTGCTGCTGGTGTCACCTGAAGGGGATCGCAGAGTGAGCACAGAGCTCGAGTCTTGCAGGCGAGTCTCCGATAAGCAGCAGATATCGATCGAGAGGGTCTCTAATGTTCGGGCAAGTGCTACCTGTTGACCGATCTGTAGTAATGTGCGTACATTGAAGCGTGCCAATCTGAGGGATGATCAAGGGCTCCAAATGGAAGTTGATGAACTGAAATGGACCGCTTGTGTGGACATGGGCTTGTCGACAGGACAGGAATGACGGTCAGCGTTCACTTGTGAGTTGAAACTATACCATTTTACAGGCATGTTAACGCATTGCACCGAGCTCTTAGCGTAGCACATTTTTGAAATCACGTGCAATGCTTTCAAGTTAGCGAGGCTAAAAACGCTGTTTTGGCGTCGTTGACACTCTCACTGGTCATGAGACGTTAGCCAATGGGACACCGGTTGGAAGCCCCAACAAAAGCGACAGACAGTCCAATGAAAGTGGTCGAGCACCACCTTCGGTTCTATTTTGATACCCATCTGAAGGAAATCTCTCCAAACTGCAACAGGCAAGTTGTGATGCCTGTCTAAGTAGGAGATCCTAGCTACCACATGATCCGAAGATTAAGCCGTAACCAGTGCGTACAGACACACTAACCAGCACATGTAGCAGTCTATACTTAGTGATCGCTAGCTGCTACCTGGTGGAGGCTTATTCAGCGGCCTAACCATGGTTGCGTAGACAGGCAATCTTCTAACTGGTATTGCGCAGTTCAGAAATGGCTGCTAAGCGGTTAGACAATTTTGTGCGATTGTGATTGCGACGATCATGAGGGACATTGTTCCCATTGAATTTGGTAGACCAACTTGAAGCTGAACAACGAAATTTCTATGTTTGCTTACTTCCATCACAGTTGATGACTAAACACAAACTAAGAGGATTCCAAGTGTGGTGTTGAGATGACGTTAGTGAGTGTTTGTTTGTCTCCACACCAATGGGCGACTTTGTTAGTCAGTTATCGCTTCAGGACCCATGGACCTATCATTATGTTAAGGTCGTAAGATGCATGTCAATCCTGCGTTTCAACAGGATATTTACACTTCCCTTCCAAGTGATTGATGAGCTTGAAATACCAAGTGACCCTACGGCCCTGATATTATCTGCCAACGGGCAATGCATACACATACGCATAGTAAGCATAGAGTTTGGAGCAATTTTTCTCCTTCAACAATGCCTCGGGAATTACCTACTTTCCAATGACAAAATGTTTCCGAGTAGTTGCCAAGTCGATAACAACCTGTGTCACGGCGTGCACACATGACTGCTTCTAAGACTAGCTGAAACAGTGGTCCATAGCAGGATTAGTGGGCGCGGTTGCTTTTGTAAATGATTGCAAACACATTGTAGGAACGCCCGTGGGTGAGACAACAGTGTTTGTCTGTGCCAAGTACTCAGCTGAATTACCAGAGTAAAATGCCTGCGTCGCCACTAATCATCGGCCTTGCGTTTTTTCTAGCAGGACGATGTGACATGTATAAATACAGTAGTCATTGTAGCCCCTTTAGGTGTTTCTTTGTTGAGTAATGCCGATTTCATGAGGATAGCATTCCAATCCATGGACGCAATAGGGAGGTGCCATCTGCATTGACTGTTTCTAATGGGGCCATTCAGAGAGCCACTTGTCAAAGCGTCTCAACACGAATGGGCGACCATATGGAAGTAAAGCCTAATTATCACTTGAATACATAGGCGCCTATGACCTTTCAATAACGCCACACATGGAGACACTGAAGCGATAACTGACTAACAAAGTCACCCATTGGTGTGGAGACAAACGAACACTCACTAACGTCATGTCAACACCACACTTGGAATCCCCTTAGTTTGTGTTTAGTCATCAACTATGATAGAGGTAAGCAAACATAGCACTTTCGTTGTTCAGCTTCAGCTTGATCTACCAAATTCAGTGGGAACAATGTCCCCATGACCGTCGCAATAACAATCGCACAAAATTGTCTAACCGCTTAGCAGCCATTTCTGAATTGCGGAATACCAGTTAGAAGATTGCCTGTCTACGCAACCATGGTTAGGTCTCTGAATAAGCCTCCACCAGGTGGCCGCTATCGATCACTAAGTATAGACCGTTTCATGTGCTGGTTAGTATGTCTGTCCGCACTGGTTACGGCTTAATCTTCGGAACATGTGGTAGCTAGGATCTCCTACTTAGACAGGCATCACAAGATGTCCATAGGACGGTTGCAGTTTGGAGACCAATCATCGAGGTTTCCTTCAGATAGGCATCAAAATAGAACCGAAGGTAGTGCTCGACCACTTTCATTAGACTGTTTGTCGCTTTTGCTGGGGGCTTCCAACCGGTGTCCCATTGGCTAACGTCCCATGATCAATGAGAATGTCAACGACGCCAAAACAGCGTTCTTAGCCTTGCTAACTTGAAAGCATTGCATGTGATTTCGAAAATGTGCTACGCTAAGAGCTTGGTGCAATGCGTTAACCTGTCTGTAAAATGGTATAGAAGGTAAAACGTAGGAAAGCAAGGTGGGAGGGGGCCAATGATTCGGTGGGTTGAAAATATGGGGAGAAAAGTGAAGCTGGAACGGAACGGTAAGAGCGAAAAAACGTAAGAGGGGAATAAGAAGATGGGAAGGCTTGAGCAGTAGCATCCAATCTCCTATCCAACCTGTTCGATGTAGCAGGCATGAGTCATCCTCCCGCCTCAGTAGTGCACACCTTCACGGTCTTCCCACCCCGCTGTTTGACTGAGACAAGCCACCCCAAGAGCTTAGCCCATCGCACAGTTTCCCACATTGTATTGCGCACCAATGAACCAAATGTTAACGGACCTAATAAAAGTAAGGCCATTGTACTATCGTGGACTCGGTGTCATGTGACGCTTCGTTACGGTGGTAAGTACTATTTGCATTTCTTTTGGACATTGTGCAGTCCGGTTGTATCGGAACTGCTCGGGTATTTTCGAGGAATGTACCTATTGTATTTTAATTACTATTTGTATAGTACCGTAGTTAACGTCTCGGCTCTTTTTCTTGGTTTTACTCGGTAGTTTTTATGTCACTCGAGCCTCCCAAACGAATTTGTCGTTTAAATTCACGTAGTCGTCAGATTTAGCAATTTGCGCCGCCTCGGCAATCAACCGCGGACGCGTTGATTCTATACCCTCTCCTAATAACGTCTACGTTATCTAAATAAATCTGGTGACATGTGTCAAATGCATGTACTGCCACGGCCGAGTCTCTTACTATTACCTGATATCCAAACTCGTTTCTTGCTGGTCTTGAAATGTGCCTGCTGTGCTCTGAAATGCTTGTGCGTAACTCTGTCGCTGTTTGGCCTATGTACACATGTGTACAGTCCTTACATCTAATCTTCTTAACACAGTTAGTCGTCATATCCTTGGGAAGGGGGTCCTTCAGGTGCAGCAGCGCTGACTCTAGCGTTTGGTTTCGCTGGTAAATCACCCTTATATTTTCGTTGTTTTTTACCCTCCGCATTGCCTCCAAAATGCCTTCTTGCACGGAATTCCTGCCGTCCCTATCCACTCCGTTGTGGGTCTTGATTGTCGGTTTAGTACTTTATGTAGCTGGCGTTTGACTATCCGCCGTGGGTAACCACTTAGTAATAGTTTTCTCATTGTTACTTTCCGCGCATCCTTTTTGTCCTCCTCCATCGTGCACATGGTTTGTGCCTTGTGGAACAGCGCTGAGGCTATCCCAGCGTAAACCTGTTTTGGATGACCCGAAATGTAATGGAGTACGCTGTCAGTATCTTTTGGCTGTGGCATTTCTAAACCAACCTTACTTCAACACAATGTATCTGTTCATGTTAATTTATGCGCACAACTTTTTCGAAAACACTCACTACTATCAGCCATCTTTCTTTACATAGCGTTTTATGCAACTGCAAATCTAGATCCTCAACGCGACAAAACTACAGAGCCACATATGCCCGCACGCGGGCCTACGGCTCATCTGTCTTACCTTATCTAGCGAGATTTCTGCTTGATCTGAATATTACCATTCAAGAACTAAACAGCAAATTTTGTTTCTGTCCCTGTACCACACATGAAACAGTTTCAGCCGCCATTTTTAAACTATTTTGCATGTATTACATTGTTTTCCTTTAACGTTTCGATCGCGCATGTGTTACAGCTGAAAATTCACCCTTCATGGGTGCATAAAAGCAAAGTATTGGCATTAAAATACACCATTCAAATTCTGTGTCATTGCTCCTAATTTAATATCACTAAAGGATGAGGTGAAAAGAGTTTATTCACCTGAAGTCTGTTGTTTCGCCATGTTCGCGATGTTCGACATCGCTGTTGACGAATACTAGGGTAATCCCAGCAGGCCCGACATTGGCTTCAAAATCACATTCGGTGAACCTCTTTCAGTCGGTTTGAATGCCGTGTTGTATTTTGTTGCGGTCAGTGTAGTCGGTACTCATAAAACAATGCACAATGTAATTTTGATGTTACTGTATGGACCCCAGTTTTTTGTTTCAGCATTCACTTTGGCCGCATCACTGGTGGCTTTTGCCGTGGCCAGATACGACAGCAGGTGGATGCCGTTTCCACAGTTCAATGTTCTATCATGGTCGTACGCCGTGGCAGTCATAAGCTTTACCGCAACAGTCGCTTCCTTCGTCATCGGCTTCCTGAGATACATGTACCTGGAGGCCCTTGCTTGGGATAGGGACTCTCTTTTGCCGACTGACCGTGGTTTCAATAAGCAAAATGTTCAACATAGTCCTTCCTATGATAGATTTCTTGGCACTCAACAGTTATCGGAAGATGAAGACAATCCACAATACTTTGGTCGGCTTGAGGAATATGGAAACGAACAATTACCCCCGCAGCGGTTAGAGACTTCTTCCCGCGCCTTAGTTGACAACTATCATTAGATAAACCACAACCATGCGATTTTTCAAATGAGTTTGTGCAAGTACTTGACCACTCATCTCCGAACATCAGCGATCCTCACTTCCACTTGTTGGACAAAATGGAAAATTTACCACACTTGTACAGTTTTCATATGCCTTTCTGTTGAAACACGGTACTCGTATTTGCGTATGCAACCTAAGTGCAACCGGAACGGGACTCCGAACCTCATGAGATAATGGCCGACTTTCTATTGGTTATAAATCATGTTGGAAACATGATTGGTACATTGTGGTTTTCTCTTTAAATAGTTTGTAGTTCCCAAACAAACGGTAGCTTTCCAGTGGAGTAACGGACCGAGGGGACCACCAAAATTGCCACAGCTCACAGACACATCGTCCTCTAACAGCGCTTTTTGTAGTTGGAGGGCCCAAATCCCATCCAATACCTAAACTCTTCAACCGCCAGTCGATCAAGCATCAACGGCATACCATGTGAGCCGTCAAGGAGCAAGGCAATATCCTCAGCCTGATTTAAGGCAGTTGCGCTAGTACCTTGAAAGAGCTCGATGCCAAACTCTACAACACTTCTAAAGCCCCCAACAGGATATCTTCTTTCGCACACAATTGGTGACAGGGAGTGGTATAAAAGGTCTGCCGTAGACTGTCACTCCTCCCGAAGCACGGAGGTAAAGCGCTATGATCTTTTAGGGAACTCCATTGTTTGGTTTGCAATGCTATAGAGCCTGTTGGTATACTAAGTCGAATGCGGCCCAAATTTCCAGCAAGACCACGATTTTGGGTCTCGGTTAGAGCTGACGAAGCATGAATAGTTGATCCACCATCACCGACCTGGATGAAACCCAGTCTGCTCCTCCCGGTAGTGTATCACAAGTTGGGGGTAGTCAGCGGAGCATGATTGATGCTAATAACGTAGAGGCATAGGATATCAGACTAATCCCTGTGATTGGCGCATTAGGTACAGGGCCTTTCTTGTAAATGGTGGCCACAAAGTCCCCGGACACTCCACGGTTATGCATATACCTACGTAAATCAGTGTATAAATGTAAAAATATTGTACATGATACTTGTCTAGGAAAAGAAGGGCTCTTCGCTGATCAATGAAATTTATGGTAACAAACATGTACTAGCCTAAGATCACACTGTCATGGATCCAATGTGTCTGTCTGTTCGCCGTCATTCTCAGCACACAGACGAATGCGTCTCCAATTGCCTGCTGAGATGCGTTGCAGAACATCAGGAGAAACCGCATTCCATGAAGCACGGATTGCAGCTTTAAGTTTTTCTGTGTTTAACGTGTTTTTCTGTGGTCTTTCATCATGTCCCACAAGACATTGTCGCATGATGAGAGATCAGGACTGCGAGCTGACCATTAATGCTGTGATCCACGTCCAATCCACCGGCGAGGGTAATTCTCATACAGTAACGGGCGCACCGAGACAGCAAAATGTGCAGAAGCACCATCTTGCTGCAGAATGGCTGCATGCATGGTTCTAGTTGAAACCAATTGTGGAATGAACCAGGTCTCCAACATATCCCGGTAAGTGAACTGATTCATTGTTTTCGAAAAAATTGGTCCAATGCTTTTGGTGGCCGACATTGCCGCCCACATCATGACGTGCGGTGGGTTGTGGGCGGTTTCTTCAGCATAGTATGGGTTAATCTTGCTCCAAATGTAAACATTTCGTGATCGTGAGCTGAGATAGACAGCACACTCATCACTAAAGAAGACATTGTGACGACTGATTTTTGTGGGGAATTCCTGGAGAAGGCGTTGACACGCTTCCATTCGATTCTATTGCTCAACATCAGACAGTTCATTGACCTGCATTGGCCTGAGTGCTGGCGTGCCCAGGTTAGTTTTGAGTAGCTCTTGGAGTGTGGAGCAGGGAATATGCAATTCAGCAGACCTCTTACGAGTCGATTTCTTTGGAGAATTGAAAACTGACTGCTGAATGATTTCCACCTGCTCCATTCGGGAGGCAGAGCGTCCAGAGCGAGGGGTATTCAGCACAGATCCAGATGCAAATGTTTTATTCTCCCATGCCAATAATGTGTCCTTTTTTGGTGCAGGCTTCTTGAAACGCTCTTGGAATTTGGTGGAAACCTCAGTCACTTCTTTTTTCTAACACTTGTTCATTTACCAAACAACAGCTATGAGTATTTCTTCAGTGGTGTAGGGACTCGAGTCGGTCATTTTTCGATTGCATGCCTGAAAATAAGAAGCCAGAAGTATCTTACATATGTGCTATAAACATTATGATAAATGTGCAAATATTAAATAATAAGTGGTATTTCAAAAAACATCAGTTATGGACAATGACTGGGGACTTCGCAGCCACCCTGTAGATTGGGACACTTACTGACTATCCCCAACAAGTGAGTGATCTTTCTTCTCGCCAGCTGTTTGGGTGCAGAGATGTTAGCAGCCCGTAAACTGTAGTGCCACAGCACTTGAGCAGTTCTCTGGAAGTTCTTCTGGACCCATAGGCTTAAAATGTTTCAGGTGTCGACTCTCAAGACACACCGCTTCAATGGGTAGTACTAGTGACACCGCCTATGACATGCGACCGGGTGTGCTCGATGCCAATTTGGATTGCGAATGCAAACCGAACTGAGATTATAAATGTTCAGCCCATCTGTCCATGCGTCGCTGCAATTTGTTGATGTAATAAGCATCGTCCGCCTCTCGGATGACATCCTTGATTCCAGACCTCCTATGCCCAGCGGTTTGAATGAGTTGGAACAGTCTGCGAGTATTTACATTTAGCACGGCGGCCTTCGTCTCCAAAGCACACTGGGACCATGAAACTCTGATCTCGGTTAAAGCTTCGTTTGAGTTTTTGGCTGGCATTTCGGTGAATTTCATTGTGATTTGAGTATATTGGGCGAGTTCGGCGGAAGTCGAACACTGTCACGGAGCGTATAGAGATCCAACCTTACGAAGGATGATAATAACCAGCAGACTAATTGGCTCTAATTTACCATTGTGTGCCGCAAGAAGCTTCAGTGGGGTTCATTATTAGTGAGCGGAACACAGGCAAATGTGTTCCTCATTGATAGTTGTCGGCTCAGCTGAGCCGAATGGTCCCTAACCTGCTCGTATCAACCTTACAATGCTATTTTACGGAGGCCCTCCCTATTACATGTAGGTGTTCACACAAACCGGTGAGTAATATGAATCAAGTTAAGTAGACCAAAATGATTTTTCGTCTTGTCTGTTATCCATCCACTGTGTGACGTCATATTCACGCAGAACTGACGTTAGTTACTGCCTGCCGATAATAAGGGGCACGGTGTGAGTGTGTGTGTTCCTGCCTAATGCACATTGATGCCATGGGGTGACAGGGATTACGTAAAGCTCCACGGCAAACAATTGAACAACGGTTTCGGACGGGTAAAAATGTGTATAGGCTGAATAGGGGGCATTGGTTGTTAGGGAAAGAAATTGCGAATTCGAAGACTGCACAGACGGACAAGATAAACTGTACATTTGTGAAGTAATCAGACAACGGCCTTTTAAAAACAGGGCCGTATGAATATCACCATGCGAAACAATTAATAAGTTAATATGGTTAGTGCTCGTTGCTAAGACCAATCAGATTTCTCATCCGCTTGCTCTGATCTACGTGCGTCGACGGGCATTGCAATTGCAAAAGTCACTGAGCCGGAATGGGTTCTAGAGTATTGGTTCATACAGCAAAGTGTAGCAACCTGAAGGGAATGTCAAGATTTTCTTGAAAATGGTCCATTGTGGGGGCACAGGTAAATGAGCTGAGAAGAGTTTTCTAAGGTTGGCAGACCCGGAGGGAGAAGTTAGTCAACAATTTAGACGACTGTATTCTTGACTTGATTTAGTGATATTCCCTCTCAGGTCGGTGTTCGAGCTGAGTTTTAAAAGGTGGCGACGTACGTGACTGGTTTCTTTCAATATTTGGTACACTAATGTAAGGTCTCTAAGTAATCGCCGATAGCGTCCACTGAACACTCCGCGTTTCTTTATCCATTCCTGATGTGGTTGGGGGCGCAAGCCCTTGACAATTTTTTTTACCCGACGTTGCCGGGTATCGAGCGCTGCGAGGTCACACTTTAGCCAACATTGCCAAACATGGATAGCGTATTTGGTGTGGGTACGCACGTAGGCATTGAGCATCATGAAGAAGTTGGATGAATCCAAATTCCCACCTGCTTCTCGCAAGAGACCGACGTGCTACTTACCACTTTTTGAAGTGGACTGGGACCTTAAAGAGATATGGACCCCGATTACACAATTTCCAGATTAGTCCCATCCGTTCTTCAAGGCTTTGAGGAGTAGCAGATCTGTTATTCTTTTTACTGCTACCACTGGTAGTATCATTATCCTTGAGCACGTATAATGAGCGTACTGAAAGGCAGTGGATCCATCAACATGACAAGTCATCTTGATGATAACGATGACATCAGTTACGAATTTTGGGCGCAGTTAGCGTAAAAACCTAAGAAAGCTTACACTATTGGGTGCAGGACCTAGCGGTCATATGTACAAATATAAATAGAACGAACAACGTAAATGTTTCCTCCGCACCGTCTGGTATGCGGTCTGTAATCTATGATGAGACTAGATTCGAAGTTAGTCTCCTTGAAAACGAAGCACACTACCTCATCTCGTCTGTTCGGTTAACTCATTTATGACATTCATCCGCGTAGTCGAGTGGATACCTCAGGGTCTAACATAGGTAAGCGGGACTAGGGTCCAAAGCACGTCGCGAGGTCAGTGGGCATGAAATGAGGAAACTGTGGTCGGTATTTGTGGTTTGGAATAATCACATTGTCTAGTACCGGATTAGTGCTTCGGTCGCCAAACCCCAGTGAACACGTTGTGATTAGCTACTCGGTGGACCAGTCAGATATGGGCATTGCTTCCAATTGCCGATGGTCAAGCGCAGCAACCCCTTTGGTGTCTTCAATGCGCGAGGGTTACGGTTCCGTTTCTTATGTTACTATTGGAGGGATGATGACGTTTCGAAACCTAGTTTTGACAATTCATAAAGTAGTTGTGTTGGACAGGAATGGATTTCGAAGAATACGAATTGATTAGGGCATGTCAGGAAACTGAACGGTCTGTAGGCTACAATCAGCTATGCGTTGCAGCAGAGTATATAAAATAATAGTACTGTTCCGCCGTGCATATAATTGTTTATCAAGTTGGAATCGTTTACATCCCATCTATTTAGCTAATTACCCGGTCGGACGGACAACGCACGTTCTACAAAACGCTGGAC